CTAGGCATGTCCAAGGAACTTCTGGATCACACAAAAGGTATTTATTTGAAAAAATCTAACTAAAAACTTAAAAAACACTGTAAATTATATCTTTGTTTTACCTCAAGGCGACTGTCAATAGTGTCAAACTGTCAGATCGTGTACTGGCCCTATAAGGGCAATCCAAACAAAATGGCGGTCAATGCATGGTCAATGCCAAAATATTGGCGCTATAAATTTAATTCAAACAACCGTGACATTTTTCATCGAAAAACTGTTTTTTGTGTATTTTGTGGTGTTTTTAGATCGTTTTCTAGTGCTTGGAAGGATAATTTTCGTATTTTAGGATGGAGAGTTTTTAGTTTAAGAAATTATTAGTGGAAAACCCTGATGTTTGCAAAAGTTATGATTTCTTTGTGACAAACCTTTACCTGCTAAACAATTAGGTAGGTACTATCCAGGATTTGTTTCCTGTTCCCTGTTTTTTTCTTAACCAAATCCTGAATCCTGATGTTTATTTTTATTTGTCTGCTATTCAAGGTATCGACACAAGCTGATGTGGAGGATAGTAAATGGTTTGGATCCATAATCCATACACTATTTATGTAGAGAGACTTTTTGGTTTTTTAATATGGATTTTGTAAGTTTTTTTCTCTTTTGCTACAATCCATGAAGCCCTCACAAAGTACAGACAAATCATTTTTTTCCGTTAAAAACCTGTGTTTTGTCTTTGCGCAGGAACAGGCATGAAACTAAACTTTCTCGCAATTAGAATTGCTCCCACAACTAAGTGCAATACATAACCTAGGCATCTTCCAAAAAATTAACACTTTACAGACTTTATACAAATCAAAAATCGCAATAAAACGGCATTTTTTAAAAATTATAAGGCAAAAGGCATTGGCCTCCATTTTGAAATCCATTTTGACAGGTCGTTGGATTGCCCTATTAGGCATTCCAACGACCTGTCAAAACTATTCCAAAATGGCGTTCGTGGCGGAAGTTCCTTATTTCCTATATGACAGTACACAATTTAAAGCTTTTAAAAGTGGATTGTGTGGTTGTTTTGTGACTAAACCCTATTTGTTTTTTCATTTTATTGACTTAATTAGGCTTTTTTCTAATTAAAAATGCCACAAAGGTGTCTTGTAGTTGATTTTAGAAGGCGTTTCAACAAGGATGATGTCAGGTTGTTTTCAGTGCCCAACCTTTCAAATTTTTCTGCATCTAAAATAAAGCCATACTCGAAATACTTGTAAGAATCTAAGCTTTTATAGGCCTTCATTTGCTCATTGCTGTAAAAACTAAGTCAAAATGTAAACAAATGTCAAGTAGACATTTTTTCAAACTTATCGTTCGCCCACATCCCGATTTTCCTGCACTAAAATCTTCGAATATTCACTCTGCATCTCAAAAAGTATATTATAACAAGATAAACTGTAATTAGCTCGAAAATATTTCAAATAAACTCAAGATAAACAAACAAACGTCAAATTTTCCACGCTCGCCATATTGAAAAATCACGTGGTTTGGAGAGCCTAATTGCCTAATAGGGAACAATCATATTTTTCAAAGTATTTTTTTTCTTATTGCTTATGTTTTCAAATATAAAATGTATATGTTTTTGTTTGTTTTATGTCCTCATTAAAATAAAAAAATTATTTTGAATTTCAAATTATTTTCGTTGGCGCGAAAACGATTAGCTTCAAGATGGTGGAATTTGTGACGTCAACTGTCTGTAAACACAACGTCAAGGTCTGTTCTCACAAGAGCCTTTGACACTTTGCAAACTGTCGGAACGATTGGAAAGAATCGCTTAGCTTGAACCTTCGACTGCATTGAAACTTGAAAGCGGTTATTCATGAGGTATTTCCGTATTTAGTGCCATATTGTGACATTTTGTGTTTCAAATAGTTCATCATGGTTGATATAGGACTTACAAAAGCGCAGTCTGACAATCTTTCCTCTATAGACCCCTTTATGGTGGTTCAATATCAGTCGTGTCGTGATGTGAGCTGATCGTGGACCAATCGTTCCACGATTCAAGAATGAACCACGAAAGTGTGGACCCTGGATTTACGATCAGTGTAAACTACCCTTAACCTTAGTTTACGAACAGTTGACGTCACTGGAAGCGGCCATGTTAAACGTAACTTTTCCGCGCGAAACTTTTCAATTTAAAACTAATAATTGCCATTAGGACTATATTATCAATAAATTTAATACAAAACTGCTTATATTCAATATTTTACACAAAAATGTGCACCATAAAAACAAAATAAGCCATATTTATTTCTTATGAGAATAGGCTCGTACAGCATATTTTTTTTATTACATATTCTAAAAGAGCGTGTTGAGTTTAGCAGTTATGCAAAATTTCTTAGTTTTCTGAGCCCTTGTTCATATTTAAATAAATTATCAAAATACTCCAAACTTGAAACACGCGGTGACGTCACCGCATCTCTCACGTTGGTCCTTGTGGTGCTGGTACGCCAGTCACTTCGACAATACGGGCATTGTTTTGACAAGTTTTGGTTTAGCATCGTTTAGACAAGTTTCAGTTTGGCATTTCATGTTTCTGGTAGAACTGGATGTTTTTCTTTCGAATCACATTTCGTATATTTGAATAATTCCCTGAGTTTCAATATTTTATGAGCACAATTATTATGGAAGTAGCATGCAAAACGAAAAATTATAAATATTGCATAGTTCCGCAAACTGTGTGCCAAACTGTCAGTAGAAAATCAGTTGACATTGCGTTATGCAAAACCGTGTGTGACGGCCCTTAGCCGGTCTCGACTCGAGAGTTGCTATGACGTCACAGCAATGAATTTCCAAGGCAAAAGTGTTTTAATATTAAAAAACCCCTAACTCTTTCAATATTCATCCAATTAAGCTGAAATTTTTTCTACGTGCTATATGTGAGTAATACTCCCTGAAAATGTGAAAACCCGTGCTAATGAAATTTCATTGAACGACCCTATTCCCTATTAAGACGCATCCTCAATCAATCTGGTAGCGAAGTGGCACTTCGGCACGCATGCTAGAACAATGTTGTTTAACGTTGGCATCCTCAATTCAATTCCGTGCTAGCATGCACGCCGACTCCGAAATGCAAGCTTGCAAGCTGCAAGTTTTTCGATGCGTGACAACTTCTGTCATGCACAGTACATTGAATTATCATTACATAAATTGACAGCATTGAGGATGGGTATCAATTTTCCAGCACGCGTGCCGAAGTGCCACTTCGCTACCAGATTGATTGAGGATGAAGCTTTAGGGAATCCAAACCACGTGACTTTTGCCAACCAGCCGGCATTTTGAAATTATTATGAGGTTGGAATACGAGTTGTTGCATGTCAACGATGTCAGAAAATTGTCAGATTTGAGTACTCGTCCCGTGTATTGATAAAGCCTAGTACTCATAACCGCGAAATTCGTTCTTTTTTGACATTGCGTCGACAATTTGACGTTTTATGCGTGAATCAAAAGTCAAATTGTCGAAGCAATGTCAAAAAAGAGCGAATTTCGCTGTGATGAGTACAAGGCTTAATACTGCCAAAAAAAAAACATATGTTTTTTGTTTGCCAACCAGACGCCATTTGGACAGGTCATTGGATTGCCTAATTGCGATTGTGAGGTTAGGTTAGGACCGGTTACCGGTTAGGTTTGTTGACGTTGTTTGTTTACGAGTGTCATGTAACATATCAACTATTTAACAAGATTTTTCATCCTTTGCTATACAAAAAAATGGAGTTCGAATGCTAGTTGAAGACGATTTTGATATTTTGGATATTTTCGATTATGGGTTTCCAAGAATTTTTAGTTTTAACTTTTAATGGAGAAAATTATTTCCAGTCAATGGATGGTTTGTCTTTTTTTCAGCGATTCAGGTTGAGAAAACCCACCGCCTTGCAAGTATTTTCTTCCTATTTTCAATTATATTAGCATATTTGCTTATTGTGGAAATGAACAGTTGTTTTTCGTTTTGTGAAAAATTAAATTCGGACTGTTTTCAATCATTTGCCTATATTTGAAACAAGCCTTGCCTTCAAAAAAAACCTCGAGAAACAAAGCAAAGAGAAATTGAACAATTTTTGTAAAAACCTATAAAAACTGACAAAAAATCAAAAGTCACCAAGAAATTGCAATGTTGCAAATCTTATCAGGTTCTTAGCTAAGAAAACAAAATTTGTTGACCGTGCATTCAAAATTATTTCTCAACTCTAGGAATAACTTTGCTAAGCCTTTCCTAACGATGAAACGGTGCATACGGGCATTAGTAATTGAGAAATCATCATTTTGTGATGATTAACATTTAATATAGTGTCTAGGTTCATTGCTGTTCAATGTTCATATTATTTATTGTTCGCGTAGTTTTAATTATCCCTTTTTGGAAAAGAGAAAAAAATCAGTCTTTTGAGTTATGATGACGTATTTAATTCGTCAAGAGTTTTTTTTTTTTTTTCTAAACGCCTGTCATCAATTGAATTTCGCTTCTAGAATCTCTTTTATCAAGAGCTAATATTTAATTATTTATGTTTGAAGACTTCGACAATTTGACGTTTGATACACGCATACAGCCGGAGTCTCGTGCATCCGTTTTCCGACGTCCGATGTCCGAAAAACCTTCTATTCTGACATATTTTCATACGATTATGTCAGAATGGAATGGAAGGTTTTTTGGATATTGGACGTTGGAAAACGGATGCATGAGACTCCGGCTTAAAACGTCAAATTGTCAAAGCATTGTCAAAAATTAAGCGACTTTCGCGCAACTGAGAATGAAGCTATAGTCAGAAACAATTCTAGTATCAGTCACATTTGAAAATTTCGATTCAAAAGGAAATCTCATTTTTGGTTCTGGAGATTTTTTGAAATCTTTACACGCTCATGAATAATTGCTAATATCTTCCATGACATTTGAGGAAGTTGCCCACAATTTTACATCACTTCTAGAATCAATTCTTGTTGGACTGTGAACAAAGACTAAAGAATGGGATAAACAAATAAACATCGAATAATATCAAAATGAGCTTTAATATAAAATAAAAAATAAAACACAAATTACTTGGAACCTCTAGTTATTTTCACCATACCATTTTCAGTTTTAGTAAAAATTGTACCTGAAACTGGTTGATTCATTGGAACCTGTCGAGTATTATTACTCAGATTTTCATTTATTTGGAACGTCGGGTTCCTTATAGTGATCATTTTTGGTTCTGCGTTCGGTTTGTTTTTAGTTTTTTTCCTCCTTCTGGATTTCGTTGGAGGTTTCGGGGCCTCGTCGGTTTGTTGCATCAGTTTTTCCGTGTCTACTACGATGACGCCTTTTTGGTTTACTGGGGGAGATACTTTGGTTGTTGCGGCGGAATTTGAGTAATTTATTTTCGGTTGTTGTGACTGCTGGCCGTTGATTACTTTTGTTAGAGTGATTCCTAAAAATAAACAGAAACTTGTACTAATACAACAAAATTGGTTTTTTTTTTTCACATTATTTTTGAAAATTACTCAAAAAAAATCAACTAGAGTTTGGCAACTCTGTCACCTCCATAAACCCAACAGCTCAATTGGCTGACAATTTTGAAATACGATTTTCTTTATACATATTTATAAATTTAAATATCGGGCACCTCCGTATACCAAACACATGTGGAGGGATTCACCGCGGATGTCCACTATTGAGAAGGTATTTTCTACAGGGTGGTTCAATTTGGATACTTTTAATAGAAAACGTTGTCAAGATAAAAAAAAAAATAACTGCCCACTCTGAGGCGCAAATTTCATGAAATCTTGATTGGTGCAACCGTATTCTGATATCTTGATAATAATAAAAATTTTGAAACTAATATTAATTACTGTTTACCAACCACCCAATGGAGACTTTATATAATATATTTTTAAATGTTACAGAGAGTATTTTGGATGTGAGTCTTAGTCCAAAGAAATATGTTGTGTTGAATGGCGATTTCAACATACATTTTGACAGGGACTACAACAAAAATTCTTAGATCTGATCTCACTGACTCATATGATTATTGTGAAAAAGTCCTCGTAAATACACGTAAAGACCCATCGTCTTGATAATGTCTTTGTAAATTTTGAAAATGTGTGTGTGCGTGAATAAATAAAAAATAGGAATTGCAAAAATGTGGGACTTACTGAAGGATAAAACCGGGTCATTCTTAAAAACCGACAATGCTGAAACGAGTACTACCAAATTTTTTCAGAAATTTTTATCATATCGAGACATATACAGGAACCGGAGCTGAGTGGTTTGGAGAGGAACTACAGATCCTGCGACATGAGCTAAACATATCAAATGAAATGTGTTCAGAAATTGACTATTCTGTGCTGCGGCCAGAAAGAAACACACTGAGAAACAGGTACCGAAATGAATAAACCTTAGAATAAACAACTCTAAAAAACAAGTAGATTCAAATTATATTCGTAATTCTGATAACATTGCAAAAGCATCATGGAATTATAAAAAAATATACGCCAAACAGTATTTCTAAATCAAATGCAAAATGTATCTGCAGAACAGTTACCAGGGAGACCCAAACCTGCACTTTTCTTTCCACAGTGTAGACCCATTCGAGGTCCTTCAGGCTCTAATTAACTTAAAAAAAAAAGCACAGCAGGGACTTCGATGACCTTAGTGTGGAGATATTACCATTACCATTACCATCAAATTAAAGGCCAATCTCTTTGATCCCTGTCTCTTCCAAGGTCCTTGAGGTTCTCTTATATGTACTTTAAGGGAAAAAACGTATTCATAGAAGAGCAGTTTGGGTTTAGAAAGGGCACTGGCGCAATACTAAAGCTCTGTGATTTCATAGTTGGGAGCTTTGAGGAGAGGCAGATTGTGTCCACCACTTTCTGTGACCTCTCCAAAGCCTTCGACTGTGTATCACACGATATCCTAATAGAAAAATTTAAACACTACTCTTGAGACGTAGACAGATCACGGAGATGGAGGGTAGGCGCTCAGAGGAGAGTCATGAGACACGGCGTCGTTCAGGGATCGGTATTGGGCCGACTGTTGTTACTTACATACATAAATAACCTTACAGCTGCCCTGTCCGGATGCTAGGTTGTTATCTACGCGGACGATAATGGATTTTCTATAAAATCCAAAACACGTTGCCAAAACGGAGATGACAAGACATGTCGGGACTGCTCTTAACTGGTTCAACTCCAATCTACTGAATATCAACCAAAATAAAACAGAAAACATAATCTTCTCTCTCAAAAAAACTACAATCCAACATAACCCAGGAAAAATCAAATTTTTAGAAGTTGCAAATATTGCAATAGACGCGAAGCTGACTTTTGAGCAGCATGTCAAGGATGGACTCTCAGCACGGGAACACTCATGTCATACCTCTCGCATCTTCGGTCTGCAGAGAAAAGCAGTTAGAACTGTAACCGGCATCAAATATAGTCTTGGAGCCCGTGTACAAAAGTGCAACGATTAGCGGGCAGTTTCTTTATATTTTTATTCGATTGTACCAACATGGTGCATGGTGCAGATGTGCAGATACGTTTGGGGTGTTAGCTGGCTAGATGGCGGTGGGGATATTTGCTAAGGGGTTGTAAACACATCAAAAAAATCGTGACGGGAATCACTCCCGGGCAGGGAGAAACTTTTATAAACAGTAAATTATCAGTGCTGTGGAGAACGTGTTCGAAGCAGCTGTCTTTTTTATTCCCGCGCAAATTTACTAATCTGTGTTTAGGGTATTAGACTTCCTAAATCACGTTTGTTGATAGCCTTTGTGGTAAATCGATTTTGTGGCTTGTTTTAAAAAAAAATTTCATTTCGGTGATTTTTAAAAAAAAAGAAATATGGATGAGGGAGATGACCCCGGAGGGGTGTCATCAGAAAAACGTTTTAAACCAAATAAAGACGAAAATAATGGAATTTCTCCATTGACCTAGATTGATTCTGGTATTAAACGAAATGAAAAAATTCCAAATTTATACAGTCCAACAGATAAGAGACCCTTTATTGTTTTTATAGAGTCAAGGGACAAGTCAGGGAACAACATAGGTAGATTTAATGACCTTAAAATAGCAAAAGATATATTTAATTTAAAGTTAACTATGTAATATTAAAAACATCAAAAATGATGGTTTAAATAGATTATCTATTGAATTTGATGAATATAAAGCAGCTAACGAATTTATTAAAAATACATTTTTAAAAGACAAGGGATATTCAATTTTTGTGCCTCATAATTTTGTTACATGTAAGGGCATTGTCAGACAGGTCCACAAAGACATTCCTTTGAATGAATTAACGGATGCAATTATATACTTCTCCATTCGAGGTTGTAGATATTGTCAGGCTTAATTGAAAAATTCTTTCGAATGACACTGATAATAAAACTCAGGTAAAATATGAACCAGTCCAACGACTACCACTTTAATTACTTTTATAGGAGTTAATTTGCCAAAAACTATTGCTTTTTATAAACTACGCGTCAATCGAACTCGAACACCCCAATTTTTGGTCACTTTTTGAAAGGCTATAACTCAAAATCTAGCAGGCCGATTTTGTTCAAATTTTCAGGAGTGGAAGGATGCTCTAATTGCTTTTTAATTTCCAGTTCTTAAGAGATTTCCAGCCACCTGCTAAAAGATACAGGGGAAAACATAAGGTGGCGATTTTTTCGCGAAAGTTTGGGTTCACCCCATTCTGCTGGAGGGAGGGTTAAGTAGATTTTTGGTATGCAGTTTAGGGGAGTACCTTGGTACCTCGGGACATTTTTGAGATTTTTTGAATATCGCAGCCCACTACGATTTTATCTTGAGTTATGCGATTTTATGTAAAATATAGCTATTGACGCCATTATTTCTTTCGAAACAAACACTACAATTATGGCGCATGTGGAAACACACTTTAAAACATATCATCAGGGCCGTATCTAGACCATAATTTTGGGGGGGTTAGACAAAGTGGCAAAAAAAAATTGTTACACTAATAATAAAAATAAAAAAAATAAATAAGTATTTAATAAGTGTTATTTGTTTTTAAGTTAAATTTTTTGAATTTTATTATTTTTTTGGGGGGGGGTTTGAACCCCCAAAACCCCCCCCTAGATACGGCCCTGCCTTGAGAAGGCTAGTAAAGACACAAATGGATCAAGCTTTTAAAGACCACATAAAAACTACTGAAGAAGCTATAAAAATCGATCCCACGAACTTCTGGTCATTTGTTCAAAGTAAAAAAGGACAGTCTAGAATACCGGGTCTAATGAAGTCTAACGGTTAGGAGTTTTCTAATGGTCAAGACATAGTAAATGCTTTTGCTAATTTTTTTCAATGCGTATATGTTGCCTCTACTCCTGACTTAAATTACACTGTTTATGAGAATAATGACTCCATTATCAACTTTTCAGAAATTGATACGTCAGATATCATTGATGCAAGTAAGAAGTTGAAAAATAAGCTTACCTCTGGCCCAGATCAAATTCCTAGCTTCCTTGTAAAAGACTGCATCGGTATACTAGCGGACCCTCTACTCTATTTGTTTAATTTAGTTATAAAAACTAGTACCTTCCCTGCTGTCTGGAAAACAGCGAAAATCACCCCAATGTTTAAATCTGGTGACTCATCTTGCATAAACAATTATCGCCCAATCTCAATTTTATGCAAGTTTTCTAAAATTTTTGAAATAATAATGTACAACAAAATATATCCGCCTATAAGGAACAAACTTTCAGTCCATCAGCATGGATTCATAGACGGTAGATCGTGTATCTCTAATCTGGCATTATTGTCTCAAAAAATAAACACGTCTTTGGATAGTCGTGGGCAGGTAGACATTGTCTACATGGACTTCCAAAAAGCATTTGATCGTATTGACCACTACTGTTTGTTATCTAAGCTTAAATCTATTGGAATGTCTGATCAACTTGTTAGCCTGTTGAGATCATACCTGTTGGATAGGACTCAATTTATAGATCATGAGGGATTTAGATCACCAGCGTTTAGCTCAAGTTCAGGTGTGCCACAAGGTTCGAACCTAGCACCACTGCTGTTTAATATATTTATCAATGACCTTGTTCACTCTCTTGTTTTAGGCTGGCTTATGCTGATGATCTGAAGATCGGCGTGTCTGTGGTCTCAATGAATGATTGTCACATTTTACAACATAATTTAAATACTTTGAATACTTGGTGTGATAGAAACAAATTGTACCTTAACGTTTCTAAATGTAATATAGTCAGTTTTCATCGGATGAAGGAGCCTGTAATGTTTGGTTTGACTACACCATTGGGGACTCTGTGCTTAATAGGCTTGATGAGATTAAAGATCTTGGTATCATATTTGATTACCAGCTTACATTTAATTCACATATTCATAATGTCTCAACTAGTTCATCCAAGGTGCTTGGCTTTATCATTAGAAATAGTAAATATTTTACTAA